TGAGTTTGGAGCCAGGAATTTGAAGCCGAGGCCGCCGTTGAAATTCAAAGCAGTTATGCTTTGAGGGTTTATTCTGGGCAAAATTCTGTTAGTTTTGCTCAGATTAAATAGGAATGTTTGTATGGCCCTTATCACCATAGTGTTTGAGTGTTTCACTGTCTTTAGTGGATTTATTGTCAACTTCTCTGTATAGAACAGTGGCACAGGCAAATTAAGCAACTTTGCCCAAGGTAACACCAGAAATCTATGTCTGAACTAGGAGCTAACCCCAGTTCTTCTCAGCCCTTGTCCAGTGCTCTATCCACTAGGTAATCCTTCCTCCTTGGGAATACTAGTGGAATAAAGTGCTATTCAGTGCAAGTAAGAGTGTCAGGATCTGTCTCATAAGACTCAGCTCTCTGCCCTTCCTGTGGTTTGGTGGGTTTCTCAGTCTTTAATTGCTTTCTGCAGTGAGAGGTAGAAACAGCTGTTTCTAAACTGTGCAAATACGGCTGCTGCCTTCACTCCGACCTCAAGTTTGCCTCCAGCTGTTGCAGACTGCTTTCCTACCAATGGTGCCCAAGCCTTCTAATATTTCAGGAGTCTTTCTGAAGCTAGGGAACATGATTTCAGAGTGCTCTCGTGCTGAATGGCCCTCAGCTACTAGGAACACAGCCTTGGCCGTGTGTGCGAGGAGGTATTTTAAAAACCGCCACGTTGCAGAATAAGCTGGATTTCCTTTCCAAAGGATCTGTCCAAAGCCCCCGGTGTCCGTCTGGGCTCCAGATGCTACAGGAGCTACATCAGTTTGTTTTCTTTCTTTGGGGTGGGATGGAATAGCACAAATGTTCCTCTAGCACCCGGTGCTGTTCTGCCAGATTATGTGAACAAGAGAGAAAGGAGGCGTGTGAGAATTGTGTTCAGATAATACTCTACTAACACAGCTGGAGGCCATCGACTCACCCCATGGGCCGGTCACATTTATCAAAAATGGCTTTACAGTCATTAAAATGGATGATTTTGGTTTCTCCCCCCAGTGAAAAATTGCTAAAAAAAACTCAGTTTCCAAAAACGTTGGGTTGTCAAAAACCAACATTTTTCATGTTGTCAAAAAAATAAATGAAACATTCAGTGACAAGTTTGGAACAAAAACATTTTTTGTTGGTTTCTTTTGGAGTGTGTGGATAAGACAGTATTTTTTAAACCAGCCTTAACTGTGGGTGGTGTGGTGGTTCCCTCAGGCAGGGGTTTTATAGTGATCAAGAAGAGAGATTTTTGAGTCCTTGCTCTCCCCCGTCCTTTCTAAAAGGAGAAATGAGATAACCAAGGGATTGTGAGTTCCGACTCACTGCAATCAGTGGACGGGCTGTTTCTAGGCTGCTCAGGAGCTCACATGTGTGTATCTGGAAGTCTCTTGTTTCTGGACACTTTCCATGCAGTTGTGATTAAATTAGTGATCACAGTCCATTAATGGACCCTGAGAGGGCTGCGGTGGGAAGCGGCCTCGCCAAGCTCTCGAGCGTTACAAGAGTTGCTGTGCACCCATCTTTAAAACAAAGGAGTTGGTCTTACTCCGCTGTCAGACTGGTGGCAGTTTGGACTAACTTCAGTGGTGTGGTCACAGTCTGTAATGTCAGTAAGAGGAGAATCAGACGCCCTGTGTGTAGTACTGTTGCTAACACATCCCTCACTAGAGCTAGGACCTTCCACATCCACTGAGTGAAAACAACTGTGCTGTCTAGCCGCTCAGTGAGGAATACCATCATTCCCTTCAGATCTCTAGTCCTCAGAGGTACTACTTCCCTGGGCTGCAGGACCGACTGAGACAGTGTTTAACAGTTAGCTAGAGTCCCTCTGATTTTACAGGGATCTGGTCGTTGCCCTATGCATATTACACAGCTTAGAAAAATACAAAGCCCTCGGATCCATTATATCAGATAAATGTTTGTCAGGCTGCTAAATGTCACAGCCTCTGCCCTTGCTTTCCTTTTCCCCACACCCAACCCCCCGCCTGGCCAGGAAAATCCAGAGAGAACATATGGAGCGAATCGCCCACAAAACAACTCTCAAACCTGCAGTTGAGTTCAGAAATCTCCACTGAATAGTTTTAACAAATCATTTTGAGCACACAAGTGGGCTGCAAACCATTCACTTCAGCTACTCATCCCCTCCTTCCCCGCTGCCAGCCCCACCCCAGGCCAGTGTGAAGGTGCGTTTCACCGCTCCACAATTAGGCACGCAGTTGTGCCTCAGTTTCCCTACCAAGGACAGTCTTCCCCAGGCTGATCGTTTGATCTGGCCAGACCAAAAATCTTCTCCTTCCAGAGCAATGAAAGTGCAAACTCTTTTCATCCTCCTTGGGCACAACCCTCTGCTAGGGTCTGTGCAGTCATTAAATCGACCCCCCTTGGTTGCAGAGGGCTTCCTCCCCCCTTCAACCAAGGGTCAAGACCTCCCTGGGCTACAACTTCCCATTCAATGCTTCCCCTCCGCTGCAGGGTTTCCATATCACCTCTCTAGGTAGCATCATACTGGGGCCTCCCGTTAGGTAAGCTCCAGTCTTCGCATGCTAATACTTGGAGCAGCTTTCCAGCTGCCCAGGGCCATGTCCTCCAAAGCCTGCTTCCCACGAGGCCTTCCTCTGGCCTCTTGAGCCAAGCACCTGTCTGCAGGGAACGCTCCCCACCTTAGCTCAGGCCCCAGCACATCACCATCCTCGCCCAGGACTCTAACTGGCAGCAAGCTTTTCTCTCCGGCTCCCTCCTTCCCGGCAGGTCTTGCTGTAGCTTGCAGTCAGCTGATCTGGGAGGCAAACCAGGCATAGGTGGGAGCTGTGGCCTGAGCCTCTGTGAGAGCTGGCATACGGCCATCCAGCGATTTGGCCACGCCCTCACCTGGGGGCTGCCCCATGGCCACCAGCCGAGCAGAGAGGAGACTGGGCGTGGATGCTCCCTCCCTTCCTGACAGTGGTGTTAGCAGCAACAGGATTCTCCTTCCCCTCCTGGCAGCAGCAGTGTGGCCCCAACATGGTGCCTTGATCCCCCCCACTCCATTCCCCTCCCAGAGTCTTGTATGACTGTGGGGCCAGGTGGCTCTATTCGCTGCTGCTCCTGCCGGCAGACATCATTGCTTTACACCCAGGCCACGTTCCCAAGCTTTTCTTTGCCATCATGAGAGCTAGAAATGTCAGGGCCAGATCCTCAGCTGTTGCACATCCACTGGTGCGACACCTATTTACCCCAGCTCAGACTTTGGCCTCTAACTGTTTTCTTAAATGGCAGCAGGGGGAGGGTTGACCTCACTTCCTGATTCTGTCCTGTGTTGATTCTTTCGGTTTGGATTCACATGTTCAGACTAATAATCCTCTGGGATCATGGCATTTCACAACTGGTGGCTGTCTGTCGGCAACCCATACTGGGAGAGAGAGTGTCTGTCGCCCGCTAGTGGCCAATCAGTAAACTAGAGCAGGGGTCCCCAGGGCGGTGCTCGTGGGCGCCATGGCGCCCACCGGGGCGTCTAAGTGCACCCACGTACTGGCCGGCGGACGAGCATCTGCCGAAATGGATGACTAATTTCGGCGGATGCTCGTCCGCCGCCAAGGTCCTCTGTGGCTCGTCGTCTGGCACCTGCCAGACGAAAAAGGTTGGGGACCACTGAACGAGAGTAATGCAGTAATGAAGTTACTAAGCTAGGCCAACAAGTAGCAATGCAGGGTTTTAACTCTGAAGGTTATGAGTTCAAACCACGGCATGAGCCCCACAGATCAGACTGAACCTAACTTGGTGAATTTTATTTGCAAGTCAGGTTTCTTTTCAAAACTCTTTGGCCAGCCCTATAGGACATTCCCCACTCACGTCTCTTCCTCTCTCTGCAGCTGGTGAAGCTATGCAGTGGGATGATTGAGGCTGGGAAAGCCTACATCACCACCAACAAGCACTTCGTCAGCGGGGTCCGAGACCTGTCGCAGCAATGCAAGAAGGACGAAATGATTTCGGTGAGTTGCCTTGCGGGGAGCGGGAGCGAGCATCAGAAAGGGTTAAACTTCCCTACAAAAGACTGGGGCATTATATATGGGAGGAGGACTGCTGGGGATTCTCTCTAAACCGAGCAAATAAAAATGTTTCCCAGGAGTAGGCAGACGCCCGTGATGCTAGGTGTGTGCTTTGCAATATGCAATGTTGCATTGGGTTTCTACATGGTGCTTCTTTTGACTTCCTATCGGAGGTCCTCTACGCTAGTATCTTTTACTTATATATGTACATCTCTATAGAGAGGCAAGTGAGGGGACCAGGAATCAGGACTTCGGGTTCCCTGCCCAGTTTTGCCACTGCCTCAGCGGACAAGAAAGACACATGATCGCTGCGTGACTCAGTTTACCCTCCTGTGACATGGGTTCAGTTTACCTGTCTCACTAAAGGAAGGCTGGAGAGCAGATGGTTGTGAGGCATAATATCTGCAACGCACACTGAGATCTTTGCAGCCACGTGCTGCTATTATCAGCTGTGGCAGTGAGGGGCAGTGATATCCAGTGAACGCCATCAAAGGCAAGGAAATCCTGCCAACTCTCATTCCAGCTGGGGTCAGAATTTTAACAGAAATCTCCCCGGGATCCCTGAGAGTCTGTCCAGCGCATTGGAGGATCTTTACATGGAAGCTGTGCTATAGACGTGCAGAATATTGATCCCTTTGGGTGAAATTTGTCCCTGTAGAGAGGATCAGCCCGAGGCCTATTCATCATTGAAGTCTCACATAGAGACAGATTTCACCTCGGTGTCTGAAAGAATCCCCAGATAATGCAACATTGCAAAGGTTGAAGAATAGGATCCTTGTTTGCAAGAGGCACTATGGTTTTAAGAAGCCAGAATGCAAACAGGATCCTTGGAATCTAGGTCAGCGAGCATTGGTGATTTGGGAAACGTGGATAACCATCGTGCAAGAGAAAGAGCCCGGCGGTGCTGGTTTCAGTACTAAACCGGAAAGGACGGGCGGCCTCTGGCTTCAGTGCCAGCCATTTATTTCATTGCACAGTTGCCAGCTGACAGAGCGAGCTCCTCAGTGGCTTAAAGAGTATCCTTCCCTCGCCTGCCAGTGCTGGAGGAAGGTCAGCTGCCCCCATTCATTGCCTGTCCTCTTCTCCTTTCACAGGAGTGCCTCGACAAATTTGGAGACAGCCTGCAGGAAATGATTAACTATCACATGGTAAGGTGTCACCTCCCTCTTGTTTTGTTTGTGTGCTGGCGGCCAGCCCTTAATAGACTCGCCTCCCTCTCTAGATGCTCCTTAATGATCTGTTGGTTTTGGATTAGGCAGCAATCGTATGGCACTGGCCAAAGGCTGCGTCTATGAAGGAATCCTCTTAAGCATCCCTTTCCCTGGACACTGGGCAGCAATTACAAAAGTGAAGGGGTGCGGGATCGGGGGGATGTTGTACAAGGTTCTTCCCTCTTTAATGAGTCACGTTCTGCCTCAGTTGCTCTGGTGCAACGTCTAGTAGTTGTGTACTTTGTGCAGTGATCGGTGGGGTTGCATGGGTGCATTAATCAGTGGGTTTGTACTGGTCTGCATGGGTGCATCGCACCAGTTTGCACGTGTGCATTGATCAGGGAGGTTGCACCAGGTTACACACGTCCATTGGTCTGTGGTAGTGCACTGGATACATTGGTCAGTGCGGTGGCATGAGTGCATAGATCCATGGTGGTGCAGTGGGTGCATTGATCCATAGGGTGCATGAGTGGCATTGGTTAATGGGGCTGCATGAGTGTAGCCGAAGGTGGGATTTGCCCCACTGTCTTTAACCAAACATGCAGGACACTGGATGGGAATGTGGGGCAATGCTGTGCCCAGCGAGGTGAAGATGAGACTTTCAGCACCCTTACGGATACCACGTGTGCAGGGTTGCTATCCCCACTCTCTTCTGTTGGAAGGGTAAGGCCCCAAAGGAGGATGCACTCTCTGAAGAATGTGCTGCATGTTGCCCATCCCAGGCACCAAAGGGATCTTCTCTGCATCTAACAGTTAGGCAGAGAGAGATACACAATCAGAGGACAGTTCAAGGCAGCTGCGACCTTCTGGTGTCTGGGCAACTGGAAAGAAAGCCATAGATTTTGCAGTCAGCCGCAGGTTGGGGAGGGGAGGGGAGAGGACAGGGCATCTCTCATCTTTACTTGCACTGTGGACTCACGGCAGCCAAAGTTTTCAGGGACGTGCAACCAGTGTCAGAGGGAGAGGAGTTAGAATGCTCATCCCCCAAATGGAAAAAGCAAACCCACGCTGTGGATGATTCATTCTTCTTTGGTGATTATGGTGGGAGCTGTGTGCGAGGCCAGGGCAGCACTAGATGGGGTCCTGAGGAACTCCAATACTCAGCATGTTCACCGTGAATGCCTCACTTGCATAGCCTGCATGTATTCCAGACTGGGGGGCAGAGGGAGGCCAGGATCCTCTTGGAAGCCACTCAGCATTGATCTCTGCCCTACCAGCAGGAGTGGCTTGAAGGTCACCTTGCTGCTCCTGCTTTGGAGTTTTGCATTGGCTTGATACGTCCGTGTGAAGCCAGAACCCAAAGCAATATTCCAGGGGGTGTGAGCCACAGGTGGATTGGAACCAAAGGACCTGTTGGAGTGAGCAATCCACTGTGAACACAGTCTTCCGGGTTGTGTGCAGCTTCGGGGTTAAGGACAAACTGGAGTATATTAATGCCACAATAGATTAAAGGAAGAAAGTGGCCAGATAAAGGCTGATTCTGGACTTCAATGCGTCTCGAAACCAGAGCACCTGGGGTGGGAGAATCTGTCCTGTGAACGCCCAGGCACAAGATTTATGAGCCTTGCAGAGGAGAAAGATGGTTCTCACTCTGTGGCCCTGAGCCAGCCATGCAGTATGTGACTCAGTAGGAGACAAGAGCGCTTCAGACCAAAGGAGGCTTTAGGGTGTTGGCGCTGGAGTGACCCAGTTTTATCCCCCATTGTCCCTGTCACTGTGCATGAGGGATGATGCGTGCTTTTGGGACACAAGCTGATTGTATGCGATTGGAGGCAAAGCTGCAGCGAGTCCATTTCGTTATCTGGGAAGCAGGTAGGGAGATCACGTTTCCTAATGGGAAATGACAGAGGGGAAGAGGTAAAAATACACCCAGGCTTTCTGGGCGCGTTAGCGTCTGAGAGCAAAGTTGACCAGTGATATAGAAACCCAACAGCAGGAGGACTGTACCAAACCTGAGTGTGTGTCAGAGAAGGGTGTGCGTGTGAGAGAGATAGGGCTGTAAGCCCAGTCTACACTAGGCGTGCTTTGCTGGTATAGCTAGACCAGTATACTGTACCGGCAAAATGCTCCTAGTGTAGACACAGCTTTACCCACAAAGCTTTTGCTGGTATAGTTCATTCCATCCCCACCCCTGTGTGAAAGAAGCAATACTGGTAAAAGCAAAGTGTTGCTGGTAGAACTGTGTTCACACTAGGGGCTTCTGGTGGTACAGCTCTGTCCGCTGGAAATCACACCTCTTCACGCCCCTGATCCATGTAGATTTGCCTGCAAAACTCTGACGTGTAGACCACGGCAGAGAGATACGGGGGGTGGTGGTGGTGGTGAGGGAGAGAACGAATGAAGGCATGAGAAGAGAAGACAGAGCCCTATATCCCCAGCCTTGGCTCTGTCTGCCAGAGGTTGCGACATGCTATTAATGTTTAACGACATGCAGTTTGCTGAACTAGAAGTGCCAAATGTGCCAATTAAACCACCGTTGCTACCGTGGAGGATGTGGCGAGAGAGGGGAAGTCCAGAGCTGGCTGCAGGTGCAGCAGACTGACGGCATGGGCTAAGCTCCTATTTGGTAGGCATGGGCCAGGCCGTGGGTCTCTCACTCTCCTTTTGCCCCTCACACCAACCCTTGGGCCTAGTTTTTCCCTTGGGTCCCCACTTATTTCACTGAGTGTTACCCCCCCCACACACACACACATTGATGGTAGAATCCTTGTGGTGGGTCCCTGGAGCCCCAACCTGAATAAAAGCAACAGCAGCTAGAAGTGATGGCCGGGATTCTCCAACGGGGCTGGTGAGATCCTGGCTCTCCAACCTGAGGCACAGCCAAGAGGCTGATTCTCCCAAACCGCTGTGCAGCTCCCCTCTGAAAATTCAGGCCTCTTGAAGGTGTCCCAGGTATCCCAGGCTGGGCACCCAAAGGCTAAGGCCTCGGTCTGGGCTATGATTTCGACTCGAGCCAGGGCGAGCGGAGGGTCAATAAGCCCAGTCACCTTCTCTCCTTTACCAGTAGATTAGCTATTTTGGCAACACTCTAAAGCCGGAATTTACTCACTCACGTTACAGCTAATGGTGACCCCAAAGCACATAGAAGAGCAGAATTCCCTCCTTCCCCTGATGCCCACACGTAATTCCCATGAATTTATTTCAGGACAGTGACGTCAGGGAGCCTGAAGCCTCTGATTCAGTTGTTACTCAAGGAGACCTCTCCTTAGATGGGGCCCTTTATTAACGGGTAGGTGAGACGGTCAGGGGTTTATTAGAACTGCAGTTTAACTCTGGGAGCCACGTCGGTCAACCTCATCCACATGCATGAGGGCAGGGTTGGAGCACAGGGAATGAGAGAGGCATGGGGTCACTACTCAAAAAGAAAACTACATTAAACAGGCCACTCAGTATGAAAATTACCAAACTCGATTTGTAGCTTTCATTTGTCCCCCGGGGGTTAGGCTGGGCTCTTTTGAGGCTGTCTGGGCATTTTCAGAGACTGTTCCCCCTCCAAAGTCCTTCTGGTTATGGGGGCACTTGGTCTCTGAGTGTTTCAAAAGAGTCTGCAGCGATCCGGTTTGTTTATGAAGGTGGAGTATGGCTAGACCCTGGGTGAGGACTTATCTCCAACCCCTCCCTGCTGTAATGGGCTCATACCAGCCTGATGGATCCTTGTGGCCAGCAGAGCTTTGCAAGCTGTCTTCCGCCCAGCGGCTGTGTTGCAAGAGTCAGCAAACTCTGGGACACAGCAGCCCTCCTCCTGGTTGCTGCCCTGTCCTGTGACAAACTCTTCCTTTTCAATTTACTTCTCCCAAGCAGACCGGGTTCTGCAGCCGTGCTTATTTAGTACCAGCTGAGCCCAGAAGAGCTTGCTAGCCTTTTCCTGAGTGGGATGGGGGTATGTCCCATCACACCTAATCTTTTCCAAAAGTGACTCTTCTGGGAACACCAATAAGCAGTGACAACGTTCCCAGAGCCAAAACCATAGTGGCGCTGCCAATGGGTATAACCCCTCCTGCCCTCATCCCGTTCCATCCTGTCCTGTCAGGGGCGTTCCCCACTGTTCATAAGCACCCAATTTTAAAGAGATGGCATCTCATTTTTTGCTAGCTGTATGCCCAAAGCAAGACATATGCCGGAAGACTCGCTCCTACGTGGTTTTGGGTGCAATTGCTCATCCCCAGGAAATGTCTTTGGAGTGACTGTAACATCCTTGAGCCAGCTATGATGCTTTGCCATTAGCCAAGTTATTTTTAGTGATTCTTCTGCTGTCTCCCCTCTTGTGTATGTGTGTGTGAACATCTTGGCTCATCCGGCGCAAAGATGTCAGCTACGAAGCAGTGACCAGTGCTAAGTCCAGGCATGTGTCCAGTACAGTATGTACGACTGGAACGAATTAGAAAGAAGGAAGAATGCCCTAAAATTCAGTTGGAGGAAGTTAAAGTCACTTGTTCTTTAACTTTATTGCTGGAGCATTGGCCTGGGAAACATCCCTGCGTCTAGTCCTGCTAGGACCATTCCCTGCAAAATCTATGTATGAGATGCATTGCTGAATGGAAAAAACTAATATGCTAAAGCATCCCCAACTTTTACATGAGACACAAGCAGGAAAAGAGAATAGTTTATCTGAAGCAAAATCCACTGCAAAGAAAGGATGATCTTGTGGTTAAAGCAGTAAGCAAGGACTTGGCAGCCCTGGTAGTATCCCCCATCCACCACCACCTTCCTTTTGGACTTCAAGCAGGTCACCTAATCTCTTTGTGCCTCAGTTTCCATATCCATAAAATGGGATTAATAATACTTTCCTACCTCAGAGTGAGTGTTGTGCAGATAATTACATTAGCGATTGTAAGGAACTCAGATAAAGGCCACAGCAATATTTTAATTAGGTACCTTTTGCCCTAGTAAGGGTGAAAGGCGGGGGAGGGGGAAGTAGAAGGGTGAGGGCAAGGACA